TGAAATGTATAACTAGTATTTGATCTCCACAAAGTTTGTGGAGATCAAAATGTAAGGTGTAATTTATGAAACCCAAATTAATGTCCATTATCAAACTTTTCCGTGACAAAAACAAAGAAACACTATTAATGGTGAAATTACCGAAAATTTGTTTAGACACTCTGCTGCATACAAAACTGCCAGATTGAAATGTTAAAAAATTTGAATAACTCTTGTTTTTTTTAATTGATGGGAAAAATTTATTCCTGATTAATTCACACCAAACATTTTTCCTAATAAGACCCGATTTATATATATTATACAACGAACAACAAAGTAATCTTTCTATTACCTAGGTTCAACGCACCCTGTGGTGAAATACAGCTTGTGGATCACACTCAAAACCATTCTGTATGCAAGTTTGGATTCCCTATACATTGCTTATTCATTCATTTTCATATCATGATTCATTTCAAATTTATAAATTATTGAATAAATCATTATTTTTCACAATATTTAGGGCAAAATTAACGTTTTTTTCAACTCATGAATATATTAATTGATACAACAGTACATCAAAGTTACATAACATCAAAATAAAAAAATAAAAACTTAAAGCAATAAAATATTAAATTTGGTAAAACTCAACAAAGAAATTTGTACGATTCCAGAATTTGAATCCCACCTAACCGCAGTCACCTCTTGCCCTAGAGGAACGTTATTTAAAAATTGACCTATACCTAACATATAGAAAAGAAAACAATCGACCAATTTTTTTTTACGGGTGTTGCCACTACTAGTTTGGACGATAGCTTTCATTCTCCTAGGCATTCCATTAATTAGCGTTCAAATAAATACTCCTGGGACATGTTCCATTTTCTATAAGCGCCACACGAAGTTAATTTTTGTTCATAGGTGGTTTATCGAGATTTCTCACACTTCTACCTAACTGGTCCCAGACAAGCTCAATTTGCATCCAGAGAACAATGTATTCTGATTGAACCAAGCTTCCATATGGGATGGTTATGAATGTCACCACAGGTTGTCTTTAACTTAAGATGATAGAAACATATTTTCCTTGTATAATGTGTATAGATCGGAACTTATTAAGAAATCTGAACCATGAATTAAATCTGGAATAAATTTATCAAAAAAAATATTAAATCAGGCTCAAAATGAAAAAGTAATTCAATGTCAAAATTTCTTAACATTTCAAAGTGGCTGTTTTTATGCATCTGAGTGTATAAGAGTTGTAGTCGATATTACTTCTGTTTGGAGAAAAAAAATCTATTCAGTACACTAAAAATTTTGTAACGTGAATCAGTAAAATGTAATTTTCACATAATTTATAAAGAACTCACAATAAATTTATACAGTTTGCCCAATGATGTCCACATCATATAACAATTTTTTATTAACAGCGTAAAATTTGACTTTGGCAATAATTTCTGCTTCGCATAAGATAATGTCATGAAATATATATTTTTGAAAAGGTGTTGACGTCCAACAGTAATATACATTGATATGGCGACAATAATTCAACTCAAAAGAGTAAAATTTTATAATAAAACTAAATAAATTTTTCATAAAGTTAAACAGAAATTTATTTTCCATTTAATGCAGAATTCACTGATGAAATTGGGTACTGTTATGTCTTAATTATAATGTTGAACATTTAGACACAAACTACCTTTTCCAAAAAATGTTTTTTTCATGAATAAATAGACATGTGACTAATCGTGAGATTCAGACATCCCTAGGTATTGGTATGAATTGCATAAAAACGAAAATGCATTAACATTTCGACAGTAAAAAATGGTATACCTTGGATCCAGCATATTTTGACACTTTCTTAAAAAAGGATCAGGTATCGAATCATGGATCTATGCATATAAGCCAGAAACTTAATAGCAGTAAACTGAGTAGGTCTTTCGAACAAAAGTTGTTCGCACTCGAGAGGACTTTGAACCAAATTGTTGCCTATTTTTTCTGAAAAACTGGTCATTTGACAACAATACCCTTAGAGAACTGTAGAACACTCAACTCTAACTGGTACACAACCATTTGTTGGCCAGAAGTGTTTGATCAAATGATGAGAAACAACTCAAGACGACGAATCATTCTCCACCATGACAATGCGAGATCTCACACATTGGCTCAAACAACTGCCTACTTGACCAGTGAAAATATTGAATTAATGGGTTATTCACTGTTCAAGTACTGATGTAGCACACAATGAGTTTTTTGTAGTAGTAGTAGTTTATTTAAATAGTAATTCCTAATATACACTAATAAAAAACATTTGACTTATTCAAAATACATTCACTTAAGATTCAAAATACCTTTATATCTATAAAATTGACACTCACATTAGTATTTCTTTATATATAAAAGAATTAGATCAATCAAGTATTTATTTGAAATTTCAAATCAAGAAGAAGAAGAAAATGAGTACACATGAATATAAAACTAATCACTAATATTATTGTATGCCTAATAAACAAATTGGGTTGGTTGACTTCTGATGTATTCAGTTAGTTTGTGTTTAAACAATTTTACTGTCCTTGCATTTTTAATCATTTGTGGAAGTCTATTATAGGAATCTAAACCTTTTAAGAACAGAGAATTCATGGCCATTTTCAGATTTGTTCTATTTATGTGGAAATTTACTTTATTTCTAGTGGAATAATTGTGGATGTTCTGATTAATAACAAATTTATTAAAATACTCAGGTTGACCTCCCTGTGTTATCTCGAAGATGAATGTCATAGTGCATCCAGCATTAAAGCTATAGGTGTTAATTTATTACATCCCATAATTACCCTCATCCCTCTAATTTGCTTTTTTTGTAATTGAGTATAATAATGAGCTGCAATAACCAAAATGTGGTTAAATGATGCAATTATAGCAAGTAATTCAAGAGTTTATGGAAAGATGACTAGATATTCTTGAAAAGAGAAACATTTTTTTTTTGGATATTTTGGTGTACTGGGCATGCCTGTAAAAATTCAGATTATTATCAACAATGAATTCAAGGTATTTAAATTCAATTTCAATTTGTAGTTGAGTATTTTCTATTTTGATGTCGTTTATGTTTATTTGATCATATTTATATCTATTCGCAATTATCATTGCCTTCGTTTTTTTGAACATTCAATTTCAGTTTGTTCATTTTCAAAAATGTGTCCAATATTTTCAATGTACTATTCATTTTTGTAATGGCTGCATTTAGATCGATATTACTTTCATAAATCAGTGTGTCATCTGCAAAAAGATTTATGAATTCACACTCTGTATTACTCAAGCCTATGTCATTCAAATACAAAATGGATAAAAGAGGCCCCAACACACTGCCTTGTGGCACTTCACATTGAATTGTTAATTCCTCAGAAATTGAATCACCCACTTTGGTCCGCTGCCTTCTATTGCTCAAATAACTCCTGAACTATCCTAGAACTGTACCATAGAAATGCAATATTTCCAACTTTTTATCAAAATGCTATCCATAGTTTCGAAAGCTCTTTTGAAATCAACAAAAACAGCCACAATATACTTTCCCTGATCCATTTTTTTTCTATTTAGAAATAGTTGCAATAATGTTGCATATGAGTGTTTTTTTCTGAAAGCTGATTGATTCTTCAACATAATTATTTTATTGAGATCTGAAAACTCCTCAACTTGTCTATACACTGCTATTTCTAAAATCTTTCCCAGTTTGGGCAATGTATTAACAGGACGAAAAATTATTGCTTCTATTGTGCTCGTAATATTTGGTATAAGTGTTACTGTCGTTAATTTTAATTTCTCCGGGAAAGAACCAGTTTGTAGAGAGACATTAATGAAGTTTAGAATTGCATTGCATATAATATCAAAAGTGCATTTGATGAATTTTATACTCAATATTTCATTATTGTTTTTATTTGATAGGCTAGATACAATGTTCTCTGATTCTTTGATACTCAAAGTATTTTTACTTTTCCTTTCTTTGTTTTCAATCCATGTTTGATTTTGTATACTTTCAACAATATCTTTTATACTCTCCCCAAAATATATATTGAAATATCTCTTCATCTCATCTTCCCAAACATCAAGAATAAACTGCATAGTCAATGATCTTCGACGTCAGAAGCAGTTGAATCGTTTAAAATCCATGTTTTGGAGATATAACTTTTGTCTTGGCACAAATGCTATAATAAATGATACTGATTATCACTGAGAAAACTTTGAAAAACGATAAAGCTATTTTCAATAACAAACTGTAACTTGATTATTTAATATACCAAGTTTTGAAAGTGTAATAAAATTTTGGATATTCCTCATGTCAAACAGCTAATTTTGTAACAGAATAATCAATGGCGTTAAAACTGTTGTGTGCCAATAGATTGAATCATTCATCTATTCAATAGATTCAAATTTTCAACTTCATGAGTTTTGCAGGTGGACTACTAAACACCTTCCAGATTTTTAAATATACATGACTTTTTAGGAGCTTGAAATTGTTGAAAAACAATTCTGAATTAAACTTGAGATAAATTAACCCATGAGCCTAAATCTACACAAAAACAAATTGGATGTTTTTTGATGAACACAAAGTACTACTTCATTATTAAAACTCAGGAAAAATTGAAATTCTAATGAAAAACGGGAGCCTTGAAGTAATAGTATTACCAGTATTGGAAAGTTCCACAGAGACATCTTGCCTTTATCAAAAGAAAAAAAGTGTCATTTAGGTAAAAGATTTTGTGTTTCATATTTAGAATGAAAAACCTTCAATACCTGTATAATTTTTAATCGGTACAATGAGTTTTGGGACACTCTATATCATAATTATGCGTAAACCAGATTTCTTTATTTATGTCAACATTTGACAATTACAGCTGTATGGTATGTACATATGTTAAACGTCAAAAAAACAAAATGGATAAAATCCTTTGTTGTGCCAGTTATATTCAATTTCAGCTAATTAGGCATTTATTTCTCATAAAGGAAACTTAACGTAAAATTAGGAAGATCTTGCTTACCGTGATATTCGCATGGATATCATATTTTTTACCGTTGTTTCCAATAAACCTACAACTCAATTCATCAACACTAGCCGAGATTATTTGAAACCGTTCATGGTTTTTTGTGAACACAGACTCTAATGTCCTTATTTCTTGTTTCAGAGTATTTAAACAAGCCATAGGTATGACTAACTAGAAATTTTGATAACTTTTCAATAGTGAAAAATTATATAGAACACTGATATCCTCAACTTAAGCACTCCCCACAGTCCAAAATGGCGGCCCAGGCCCAATCGAATATCAATGCCAGAGAGAGACTTTATCGGTTTCAGTCGGCTCCGTTCGGGACATCAAGACTTTTCAAAGTGAACTGGGGCTTGATAATGAAAACAGCTTCAGAGAAACGAATCACAAACAGAACTTAGCGGTTAGAAACAGCATCCACTTATCATGAGCAGATCAAAGGATCACAGAATTCCAATTCAGGAAAGGTATCTCATATTTCCGATAGTACTAGCGGGTAAATCGAACTAACTCAATGAGAAGTTTTCTACTGAAAACAAATTCAACAATGTAACAAATGTAACCCAATCTGACAAACTAGATGCAGTAATCTCACTGAAATTGAAGAAAATGTACTGCAAATATTGCATTCCTAATGAAAATCCAAAACAAGCATTGTTCTCAAACATTAGAACTGCAGCATTCTTCCGACGTGCTTTTTCAACTGAGTTAGCTTCTTTAGGAGATAAACTAGACCAGTCTTATTCTGATGGTTGGGAGCAGTGCTTATTTTGGATTTATTCTAGTTGAAGAATTTAGTTCTACGATCTCAGTTCCACAATAAAAACGTTTTACAGTAGACGCAATAGTTTTGATTGAGGAAAACTAGTGTAAATTGTAAAAATCGTAAGTCATGGAACGTTATCTGAACTGTCAATAACTGGAAGCGTAAAGTGGTGCTACCTTCATATCGTCGGAAAATAAAAATATGATAGAGACATGTCATTTGATTTTCTTACCGTCTATGACCTTGAAAATATCTGCGCTTCGCTTCTGTGATATGAAAAAAAAAAGTATTCAACTGAAAACATTTATTCAACTATTTGAATGGAATACAAGCAATTAGAAATAATTTTCAAAAAACCTTGTAGAGAGAAAGTACATCCAACTGACTACTTCACTAAAATATTGATTAACAACTTTGAACTGATTCAAATTGTGAACACAGCTCTTCAACAATAAAGTTGAATTATATCGAAAATATAATTTGTCGGTATAGGTCGCTCAATAGAGGAATGTTGAAACTCAAATTCAATCATAGCCGGAAAGAAAATCAATAAACTCTACATAATTGAAATATGTTATTTGCCTACTAGTAAAATTAGCCAAGTAGTTGAAGTGCTCCTACAAAAAAGCATGCGAATGCTAGTTGTTTTACCGATTCAGGGAGCTATATTATTTTTTTATTTTGTTTTCATTATATTTATTCCTATAAGCCAGTTTTCAAATGTTACTTTGAAACTTTATATAACGGATAGTCCAAAAGTAACCAAATGCTAACCGATTCTAACCGGAAATGCTGCCAGCGTTACTTGAAAAACCACGAAATAGTGGTTATTTTTGCAACACATTCGATTGTCAAATTCAATAGATGGAGTTGGTTTATTATTTCAGTTCATTGAGGTGATTTGAGAATTAATAGGGAATTTTATTCTTATTATATTTCAATGTGACAGTATTGACATTTGGCGACCCGTACACATATGTAAATAGCTTGGTAGGAACCCTGGTGTTCAAACCGATTCGTGTTGATAGTTCAATTTTTTATTTTGTGGTTGTATGGTATTTTATTTCATTGTAATTTCAGTTTTGTTTTTTATCTAATAAAATTGTTATTTTTCAGCTATACTTTTTAAATTTTTACAGATTCAGGGATTTCAAATCAATTTATATCATATTAGACAATGGAACTCCGAACTAATGAAATGTTTTTTGACAAACTATGAATTATTGCCTTACAGACCCGTAATCTCAAACATTGTATTATAAATTTTTTTCATTTATTCACTATAGGCGTTTTCTGGCGCTCGTGTATTCAAAACGTATTCATATGTAATTCTGTAATTCGTCTGTAATACATTCATTGCGTTGAAACGATGACATCACATCAACCATGATTTGAAACGTATTCATCGTGATTCAAAACTAGCGTGAGGTTGGTTTTGAAACTGAATTTGACATTAAATTACGTCAGTTGTCAGTTTCTGCTTTATTTTGATCGTTATAATTTATGAAGTCCAGAAAACTTTTCATCGAATACGTTGTAAGGATGTATAAAATAAACCTGGAAAATTATCACTCGCACAAATCCCATTCTAATAGACGTTAGAGAAAATTGAAAAGTTTGTTTTTATTATTGAATTTGACAGCTGACAAATTGAATCATTCCATTCTGGCGAATCTTATTATTGGTGACGTAACTACGAATCGACCACGAAGGGGTGACAGTGGTGACACCTCGATTTTATAATTTGAACATTAAACTCTGGGAATACATTAGTTGTTTTATTTACTGTAATGTTGGTTCAAACAAATGAGACTTTCAGAATCATTATAATAAATTTGGCAAATAGTGTTAAGTTGGCCAGTATGATGAATATGTTCCGGAAAATGTACACTTCCCAAAAAAAACAAAAAAGGAATGAAGAATTATACTCATAATCATTAACGAACTAACAAACATATGTGTTTTTATAGTCAACACTTCATCAGAGAGGATTTCATTCTTGAGTAAATAAAATATTTCCATTTATGTATCGCAAATATCTGGACTATACCCTTATTTTCCTTTGGCAACATGACATTGCGGCGAAAATTTCCTCTAGTACTTTTTTATACCCTAATGTAAAAATTACCTTATCATGATGACCAGTGAATTTAGAAGATTTTATTGGTCGAATCTATCGTTTTATCTATGATTTTATTAATGGGTATGGTTCGGAATTTACTAAAATCATGGCTATGCGTTCCAGAACTAACGGCTACTGTGATATTCATAAATAAATGGTGACATTCGGAGCTTGGTTTCTTGAAAATTGGATGAAACCAAGTACTCTCGATTCTCCATGAGATGAAGAGATCCAACGTACTTCGGCATTCTATTCTCAGAGGTGCTAAGTACACACCACTGTTTACATTTGGAAATGATTCTTTTTCCATTCATCAACATGTGTACAGAGTTTAAAAAAAAATCTGTTCAAAATCTGTTTTTCCGTAAATCAGCTGTCGTCCCCATATGAACGACAACTCTCAGAAGTTGAGAAACTTGTGCGAGCTAAAGACTTACGAGGTCTTACCTTTCAACGTGTGATTCCTAATACGGTTGCAGAATCATCCCAGCTTCAACCAGATATATTCCCTCGAGAAAAATATCTGGTCGAGGCGGAAATCGAACCCACGGCCTTCCAATCGTGAGTCGGGCGCACTACCACCGCGGCCAATTCCACAACGTGGTCAATCTCATTTCTCGGTTCTAGAGTTTTTGACAAAACAAAAGCGAATCGGTTTGAACACCAGGGTTTCTACCAAGCTATTTACATATGTGTACGGGTCGCCAAATGTCAATACTGTCACATTGGAATATAATAAGAATAAAATTCCCCATTAATTCTCAAATCACCTCAATGAACTGAAATAATAAACCAACTCCATCTATTGAATTTGACAATCGAATGTATTGCAAAAATAACCACTATTTCGTGGTTTTTCAAGTAACGCTGGCAGCATTTCCGGTTAGAATCGGTTAGCATTTGGTTACTTTTGGACTATCCGCTATATAAAGTTTCAAAGTAACATTTGAAAACTGGCTTATAGGAATAAATATAATGAAAACAAAATAAAAAATAATATAGCTCCCTGAATCGGTAAAACAACTAGCATTCGCATGCTTTTTTGTAGGAACACTTCAACTACTTGGCTAATTTTACTAGTAGGCAAATAACATATTTCAATTATGTAGAGTTTATTGATTTTCTTTCCGGCTATGATTGAATTTGAGTTTCAACATTCCTCTATTGAGCGACCTATACCGACCAATTATATTTTCGATATAATTCAACTTTTTTGTTGAAGAGCTGTGTTCACAATTTGAATCAGTTCAAAGTTGTTAATCAATATTTTAGTGAAGTAGTCAGTTGGACGTACTTTCTCTCTACAAGGTTTTTTGAAAATTATTTCTAATTGCTTGTATTCCATTCAAATAGTTGAATTAATGTTTTCAGTTGAATACTTTTTTTTTCATACCACAGAAGCGAAGCGCAGATATTTTCAAGGTCATAGACGGTAAGAAAATCAAATGACATGTCTCTATCATATTTTTATTTTCCGACGATATGAAGGTAGCACCACTTTACGCTTCCAGTTATTGACAGTTCAGATAACGTTCCATGACTTACGATTTTTACAATTTACACTGGTTTTCCTCAATCAAAACTATTGCGTCTACTGTAAAACGTTTTTATTGTGGAACTGAGATCGTAGAACTAAATTCTTCAACTAGAATAAATCCAAAATAAGCACTGCTCCCAATCATCAGAATAAGACTGGTCTAGTTTATCTCCTAAAGAAGCTAACTCAGTTGAAAAAGTACGTCGGAAGAATGCTGCAGTTCTAATGTTTGAGAACAATGCTTGTTTTGGATTTTCATTAGGAATGCAATATTTGCAGTACATTTTCTTCAATTTCAGTGAGATTACTGCATCTAGTTTGTCAGATTGGGTTACATTTGTTACATTGTTGAATTTGTTTTCAGTAGAAAACTTCTCATTGAGTTAGTTCGATTTACCCGCTAGTACTATCGGAAATATGAGATACCTTTCCTGAATTGGAATTCTGTGATCCTTTGATCTGCTCATGATAAGTGGATTCTGTTTCTAACCGCTAAGTTCTGTTTGTGATTCGTTTCTCTGAAGCTGTTTTCATTATCAAGCCCCAGTTCACTTTGAAAAGTCTTGATGTCCCGAACGGAGCCGACTGAAACCGATAAAGTCTCTCTCTGGCATTGATATTCGATTGGGCCTGGGCCGCCATTTTGGACTGTGGGGAGTGCTTAAGTTGAGGATATCAGTGTTCTATATAATTTTTCACTATTGAAAAGTTATCAAAATTTCTAGTTAGTCATACCTATGGCTTGTTTAAATACTCTGAAACAAGAAATAAGGACATTAGAGTCTGTGTTCACAAAAAACCATGAACGGTTTCAAATAATCACAATGATGATTTACGATAACTGAAAATCGAATTCCGCCAGAGTATCATTCCTCAAACTAGGCTGAAGCGAACAACAAACTACATGCTTATATCATCGCCCCATCTGCCTGTGAACGAGGTAACCCAGTCGTATATCCGAAATTTGCCCAACTCCTCGTATAATGAAGAACACTTCACAAATTGAGTGGGCATATTCGAAGATTGGCTGTAAATCAAACTCGGGCCCGAAACCGGTCTCCAAGTGTGTTCCAATAATTGAAAATCTATTACGGTAGTTATAGCGCCAACAGCATATACAGGAATAACTTCAGTGAAGAATCCTGCACTGACACCTGTCGGATATAATCCTTCGTGGTATTAGCCAGGTGAATAGTTGTTTTATGATAGGTATCAGTCCATCAACCTATACTGTAGGTAATTTGAGATAGGTCTGAACTATTTGTTCTTTTAGATAATTTAATTTGCAGCCAGTCTCCAAGTATGCCTATTGAATTGACCTTATTAAGTGATGCTCTCCCATGGTTGCCAACTGCGGTAAAATAATGACATTTGCTAATAAATAAATAACCTATCTTCCTGAGTTCCTTCTGCATTTTCGTTTTTGATAAATGAGAAACTGATTTCCAGAACATGACCGAAAAGAGATTTCCAGTCTTCCTATGTGAAGTTGGTGCTCCAGAATGAAGAATCAGATATGAAGAAATATAAGATGGTCTGTCCCAAACATTAATATGCAGAAGGAACTCTGCATTTTAATTTTTGATAGGTTATTTATTAATTAGCAAATGTCAAATGTCATTATTTTACCGCAGTTGGCAACCATGGAGTCGCATCACTTAATAACGTCAATTTGTGCCGTTCATAACATAATACTTTACATTCAAGAAAAATCGATTTGAATTCATTTTTCTGATATATCGGCAAGTATACAGATGAGACGCAATAGAATTATATCCCTTAGAAGAAATTAACATGACTTGAGATGACACAATACAATTGGAATTGGCCGATGCTTGATGAAAATCCATAACTTTTTCAAAAAATACTTTATTGTGTGAGATTTTCACTGAACAGTTTTACAAAAACGCAACACATGTTTCACCATACAATCGCTTCTTCTGGCGTGTCTATCCTTGAATCGTGTTTTTTTCTAATTTCGTGAGAAAAAGTGACATATACGTACCTATATACGGAAGCCATATACTCTATTTTCTATTGAGTTTTTCTTCAAATATAGATTTTTTCCATAAACCTGACATATTCTTTGAGTTTACGACTTACGATTTTGTAGTAAACTGAAAATACGGATGATAGGTACAAAAAAGTCAAAATCTTGTCAATATTTAGGTTTGTTCTGGTTCTACGAAATTCTGGTTCTAGGATGTCAGGATCATGCGCAGTTGATATAGAGCGTTCTGGTTTATTGAGGATAATTTCGGATTGATGTATCCTCTGTTCTGGTTTCGACTGCGAAATGATCCTAAACTGTTTTGAAACGTCCCGAATCATTCTTGCTCTCGAGGCTGAACTGTTGAGAACTGTTCCAGTTGCTCATACAACTATGGAAATTTGTTTGGGCTATTTGCTAGGATGTTTTTTTATTTATTTGATTTGAATAATTGATGATTGATGGTAGATAACATTTGAACTGACTATAGGGATACGCTACATAACAAAATGGACATGAATAATAGTATTTTTCTGTCTTCATCTCTTCATATATACGATAGGTGGCACAGTGGTCTCCTGGTCTCCTCAAAAGCGTTCTGGTTCAAACAAGTGTCCGAGACTATTTCGGACTGTTTGAGATTTTTTGCTTGTACGCACCATGTCTTGCGCAGTTTCCAAACAGTTTCGGATGTTAGAACCAGAACAAACCTATATTAGTAACGGCTCCATCTTGTGAACAAATTCCCAAGCGGGAAGTATTGGTACATGGGACATAGGATGTTTTTTCCACGCTTGGGGTTTTGTTCACGAGACATATCTGTTACTAGTTAACGATCTTTTTCTCAGGCGAACGCTTAATACATGCAAAATTGAGGAACATACCTAACAAATAAACTGTACTACTTCTCTCAGCAGAGGAAAACTGTGAGAAAAAATCATGTATGACACTTCAATTTTATTGCAAACTACTTCAGGTCAGAAATGAAAGAAATAATACCTACTATATATTTATTACTTCCCTGAATATTTGAAAATCATTATTCCATACTGAAATGTCATCTAGGTGTAATGTGTTCGAATGAAAAACAGTCGTCATGAAATATATTTATTTTATGAACTTCGAATGCTGTGCATTTCTGTTTCGACTTGCGAGAAAGCTTCTTGTCTTTTCTTCACGTTCGGTATTCTGTAAGTCAAGTAAGTTCCAATAAGGAGGAGAATAACTTGGCTAAATAAAGACCATAGTGCTCCAAACTTTTCATTCAGTTTTCCCAACATCAAGACAATGAATACTCCGAATGCTTGGGTTGAAGCGTTGAGAAGACCTGAGCTTGTACTTTCGTCCAATGGATAAGTGATTTCCACTGCCAGTTCGAATCCCACAGTCAAGTAACAATTAACAAAGCATCTATAAAACCAAAAAATGCATTGAAGACACAGATGAAATGATAGTTTTTTCTATGACTGTCAACAAAATTATCAATTGGTTGGGTAAGTAGGCAAAATGATCTATAACTAACATCTGGGAACCAATGACAGTAGACCAGATTCACAACTCTTGAGGCCAATCACAGATGAGAAAATTCATTATTCTACAGTCGTGTTTCAGTTGTTTTCAATGGCAAGTAAGTTTCAAGAACTTTTTACTTCAAAACGTTCTCAAACGTCAAACTCATTCATTGAACAGACATTTTCTTCTAAACTACGAGACCTATTAAAAAAATAAGGTAAGGTGAATGTTCAAATTTCGCGGCTACGTACATTAGATTTGCGTTTTTTTTATATTGGTACACTCCTCTCGAACATATGTTCACATTTAGCATGTTCAGTTTGTTGGTGAGGGGCATGAAAGTTAGAAGTGTTCGGCGTGTTCAACAATTTTTTGCCATCGAAATAATGGATCAAAGAATTTGCATCAAATTTTGTGTAAGAAATAGAATTGAGTCCTCAGGATGTATAAAGACGGAATTATATTATTGTGTCGTGATGTGTCGTGACGCGCCACAAGTATATCGTATCCATACTTTTAAGCCGGAATTACATTATTATGTTGTGGTGTGTTGTGATGCTCTCTGACGTGACGGCGAGTGTGCAGACTATTCTGTCGTTCATCAGTTACTAGTGATGAAGAAAGATTTCATCAATATTTCAGGACGTCAAAAAATCAATTTGAGTAGAGTATGGTAGAAAATGATATTAAAAAAATGCAAACCCGTGTTTTCTAACAAGTTCAATAAGTTCGTCCGACATCTTGTGCACAAATAAATGCAAACGGCTATTATCTAGCTAGTTAACGCGTCAGATCAGAAACATACTAATGTGGAGTGTTCTGGCGCGTCATAACCCCACCATCGTTTTGACGCCGATCGGGAATCGACCGATTGCCGTCAAGACGTCACGACAGATCGCGTCCCTACACACTGCACTTCAGTAATATAATTCTAAACATATTAAATGTATGAATACGATATACTTGTGACGCGTTACGACACAACACGACACAATAATAATATAATTCCGGCTTGATATAATTCTAAACATACTAAATATATGGATACGATATACTTGTAGCGCGTCACGACACACCACGACACAATAATAATTATCCGGCTTTAGTATGTTTAGTGTGTCGCGTTGGCGTCAGAACGATGGTGGGATTATGACGCGTCAAAACACTCCACACTAGTATGTTTCTAATCTGACGCGTTAACTAGCTAGATAATAGTCGTTTGCATTCATTTGTACACAAGACGTCGGACGAACTTATTGAACTCGTTAGAAAATACGGTTTGCATTTTTTCAATATCATTTTCTACCATAAAATATAATATCTCAAATTGATTTTTTGACATCCGGAAATATTGATAAAATCTTTTCTCATCACACTATAGTTCTTTCACTGATAAATGATATTCGCTCCGACTACCTCTCAGATCATTTACTGGATGGACCAAATATTTTCTTTTTTTTTTTTGAGTAAACTTAACATTAGCAGACACGCAAGGTTTTCTGAATATCACTATTCGAATCGGAGGAAAACATTATAGATGCTCGAATGCATTTACTCCAAAGGCCACTACTGCAATGACTCGAAATAATGTCAGAGCGCGCCCCGACACGACATAATAGCCGAGAATACTTACCACAGAGAAGCGACATTAACGTCGGATCCTTTGATGTTCGGTGTCCCAACTCCGAACCGAAGATTTTGAGTGATAAACAACCTGGTTCACTGGTAAAAATGACCTCTCAGCGATATACACTAATAAAAATACATACTCTTACGTTCTAGTATAGAACGTGGGCTCACTGTGAAATAATCTACATCCTCCATTAGGTTGAATAATATATTCGAAACTGCTCCCCCAGTAGACATTTCAGTAAATCGATTGTTAAATAAACATTCCAACTGATATATAAAATTAATGAATTCATCTGGTGGTGAGCGCAAATTTCCAAACATGTTTTTCCGTAGTATAAGCTTTAAAATAGCTTAACAGACGATTTATATCCAAAATCCTGCACTTCGTGCTGAAAGAGTGACACACATAACATTTATGAACTTGAAGAGCTTTTTTTAAAATGTATCCACAAACGTAAATGAATGAATTCTGAGTACATACATCTTCATTTTTATAATCATAATCCGGAAGGGCAAGGGCTGGAGAAAAGTGATTCTCATCTGATATAAATATATCATTTACGTTTGTGGATTGTATACTGATTAATAAATCATCTAAATCATTCTTACTATTCATATGATCTGAATGAAGATAATTTTGGCAAAACAACTTCCGGAATGCCCATTGAAATTGTATGGAGGTCGGATTAACATTATTTATGCATTGCTGTCTTACAGCACCAAAAAACTTTTCAAGACAATCTGAATTGAGTCGTCTCGTTTTCAAATATTTATAATTTGATTTGGAAAGCTCATCCCATATTATAATTACACTATTCATGGAAATAATCCAACATTTTTTAAATCTGACTCGATTTGTGACATTTTTGACCTCTGAATTGAAAATTTCAAGATTTTTAAAAAATGGTTTTGTATTTGTAGGGATGTCGTAAAGAACACGAATTCAACAAATCAATAAGGTTATTGAATGTCTCTATTACTTGTATTGTACCAAAAGAAGAAGCAGGAAGTAAGTTCATTGCCACGAATGCATTCATTCCACTGGCAACTGTACGGCTTAGAACTTGTATTGCTAGACTCACTTTCATTTTTTCAAAATTGTTAGGATTGATATGTGATTTGGTGAGAATCTATAAAATTGCCCTATGTCTTGCTCATAAAAAGAGCGCACAAAAGACCAAGATGTACTTTTGCCTTCAAAATGAAACGAATGTTTTAAAACATTGTTTCTAGTGGCTTTTATCAAATGACTTGGATCAAAAATTTAAACAAATTTTTTACCACCGAGCTTAAATTCACAAGTGACCCCTAATAACTTTGACAATTCATAAAAGTTAGAGCCCATGTCACTCACAATGCCATCAACATGCAGACCTATATTGGATAATTTAGAAACGCACTTATCCAAAATATCACGTAGATTTTTTGCTGGTAGCTGTGATTCAATGAAAAAAAAGCAATCGGTTGTTTCCAGGGAGAATAAAGTCCTTTAGCCATAATAACGAGAACATTTCAACATATGGAATTCCTCTTATTTGCCTCTCCAATATCTTCAAAATCAATAATTTTATCACATCCTGTATAAAAAAAAAGGATTTTAAAGCCATCTCATCTATAGATATCACACATCGCTTGTTCGAGCATTGTTTCAATTTTAATTTCGAGTGCCTTAAATATTGCTGAATTTTCCAAGCCCGGCCTACATGTTATTTTTTGGGTCATCCTTTGCAAACATCGTTTTGTTGGAAGAGTCAATAACTTGCTGAGACGTCTATAATTCCTAGAACTTGAAAAGTAGTTGATTTCTCTCACGATGGATTCTTCAAAACTAATTATCTCCTGAAAACTCTTGCTTAAATAGCATAATTTTAATGTATACCGAGTTAGGTAGGTACCTTTTGTAACTAACTATCTACCTCATTATGTTTGCTCAGTGCTCACAGACTAATGGAGACAACTAAGCCCGAGAATGACGTGGAGACAACCAAGTCGACGCATGCGTATACGAAAAAGGGACACAAAATGGCCGTCTTTGTCGCTTCTCTGTGGTAAGTATTCTCGGATAATAGTCTGCACACTCGCCGTCACGTCAGAGAGCATCACAACACACCACAACATTTTAATGTAATTTCGGCTTGAACCTCTTAAGAAGCTAGCCACTCGCACCAGCGAAACGTCAGGAAGAAATTTCAAAAATCCACGGCCTTCAAACCCGAAAAATAGTGAAACTAAAAACCTCGGACGCGAAAGCCACACTCATTTTGTCGAACTGAAGTGAGTTTAGAATACATTTTTTTCTTGAAATTACGATATTTATCGTTCGTTTGTGAATGATAAAAGTGATATAAATATTTTCTGATCGACNGCTCCATAGTTATTTGATGAAGATCCGTATTGATTTCACAAACTACACCAGAAACGATTTGTTCTTCATAAACTTTATTTCCAAAAATATCACATATTTCGCTATCACAGTAATTCTTTGGAAGTAGAGTTTGTAAAGATCAAATCGTTTCCGGCGTAGTTTGTGAAATTATTATAAACATGCTAATTACTCGGGAACGACTAATCCGATTTATGAAAATGAAAAGACGTTGAATAGAGGAATGGAACACTTATCAAACAAGTCATCACAACACCCCCATTTTTATTTGAAAAAAAAATTGGTGTCGCTTTTTGGGTGACGAGTCATGCAACACTATTGTCTTTCTCATTGAAAAGTACTAAATATAATACTTTTTCACGTGAATTTTGTTCGATCTTGATACATTTTTCAAAAGTTATATTACTCTGTTAAAAATTAAGGAAAGTTTCATTTTTCTCAAAAAATACTCATTTATTTTTCTATTTCGCCCTCTTCAAAGTAGTCGCTGTAAGATATAGTACACATGTGCCAGCGTTTTTTCTATGCACTTTTTGGAATGTCCCTGAGCTCTCTCAGAGACTCGGTTTATATCGCCTCAATTGTCGCAAAACCGCCGTCTTTACATGAGTCTTTTCAATTTTGGGAATAGAAAAAAGTCGCAGAGGGCCAAATCTGGCGAATACGGTGGTTGTGGCAACATTACGGTGTTATTTTCGGCCAAAAATTATATACGAGTAGTGTCGAGTGAGCAGGTGCATACGGGACGTTTTATTCGTATTGCTTCTCGCAAGCGACGCATAACTCCAATCGAATATACGTAGCCCGTAAAATTTGAACATTCACCCTATTTTTTGAACATAGTACACACTATACAGGCCTAAGAGTGCGTATACAAACAAGTCATCACGATTTTTGTCGCAAAGCGAGAGACGACAGAAAATGTGTGCATAAAAGAACCCTCACAGTTAGCATCTCACTATTTGGTACTCAAATTCGCAACTCAATTGGTGTGTCTTTGATAATTTGATTCCGATTTTTATTCCACCGCTATAAAAGAGAATTATAGGAGTCCGTGAAACCAACAGTTTCCCAGCTCTCCAATAGCCCCCTAAGACTGATGAGGATGTTAAATCTAAGGTTCTGATGGACAGGAATATTTCAAACATTTACGGGAGAATGGGGTCAATTAAGAAGAAGAAGAACTCAGGTGAAAATCAACAACAATACTTGTAGTAGGAAGCTGATCGTGTAATGTCAGTCTACTTCCGAACACGTAACAAAACACAGGTAGAAGACAAATGAGACTTTGTCGAAACGTCGTGAGATCAATCCCGCTAAGGATAATAACACAGAAAACGGATCGAAACACGAACATCAGTCAGCATTATGTATAATACATATGTATATTTCACGACGTTTCGGCAAAGTCTCATTTGCCTTCTATTGGTGATGTTTCCTTAGTGTTCGGAATTGAACTAACTTTGCTCGAGTCCAATTCTTAATATGTATGAGAATGGAGATTGATGTTTTACCTGAGTGTCTTTTTCTCATTTGGTGTTCAAAATTTGCTTGACCTTGCTTGAACTACTTCTTACTATCTTGGTATGGTGTTGATGTTTACCTGAGTTTCTTCTTCTCCTGTGACGTTTTCTTTCCGTAAAGATAATCACGGATAGAATATGTCGAACTGTTTTTTAGATTTTGATCCGTGTTCTGTGTTTTTGTCCTCACTGGGACTAATTTTATGACGTTTCGGACAGATAACCCAGTGAGGCCCGATTCATACACATTATACGAGGTAAAATATAGGTTTTGTATGATCTTCAAAATCATCCTGTATGCTGGCTTGGTTCATTCCCTAAATGTTTTCATTCATTGTGACATCATGGATCTTTTGAAATTTATGAATAATTGAATAGAACAATGCATGTTCTTTGCGAAGAAATAGTACCTATTCAGGGAGTTTTGATTGGAGGATTGTTGTCTTAGTTTTGAGAGGTGATGTGAATTAGTGAAGTGGGGTAATTCGTTTTTCATTTTGGTCTCCTCTGTCTGTTTATTTATTTGATTAACAAATGCAAAATCGCTTTTCTGAATATATAATTTGGAAACCTGGCCTACGCTACTTTGGATTTACCTCGCAAATGAGGCTGTCTGTATTAGATTCATTATCACTTGAGGACAAACGTAAACTTGCAATGGTTCTATTTCTTCATAAAATAATAAACTTCCACTACAATTGTTCAGCTATTTTAGATGACCTTTGCCTTTCTGTTAACTCAAGATCCTTAAGAAGCAATCACATTTTTTCATTTGGGTTACGATTCCACAAGACTAACTATGGCTCGATGACAATAAGTTGTAGGCTTCAAAAAATTTCAATACATACTTTTCAGAAATTGATCTTTTTCATTTGTCATATTTAAAATTCAAAAAATGGCAATTAAATTCACTTGAGTTTTGTCAGTGGGGTGAATATCTAGTTACAATCATAATCATAACATCAAAATCAACTTGTGAATTTCAGTAGAAGATTTCATGCAAAGCTTCAATATTCAGTCACAATTATATTTGTATTTTCAATTCCATTGGTTCAGTCTGACTAGGGCAGTGAGGCCCCGAGAGTCACGTATAATTCAAGAATAATTATCTACATCTGAATTTCATGACTGTCAGTTTTATTGTTGTTAGGAACGAGCGTTTTAACGCTTTGAAATTCTATTTTGGTGGCCGAACCTTTAGTTTTTTCATAATTTTATCGGTAAGAAGAAATAATCAAGATGAATGATGGAAAAGTTAGTATCCACAATCCAAACGCCATGAAATAACTTGGTTTGAAATCTGTTCTCATTTTTCAAATTTATTCTTGCATTCTGATTATTTTGATTCATTTAATAATTCTAATATATAAAAATGAATGTTTGTGGGTTGGTTGGTTGGTAAGTGATGAACTTCTACATAGCTCAACCGATCGTGATGAAACTTGATACGTATAAGTAATTTTTCATAGAGAAGGTTTCTAGGCTATCAATTTTTCTGTAACTCGCCACTAGATGGCGCTGTAGCACAATTTTTTGAAAGCACTGTTCTATAACGCTACGCACGCCTAAGTTCGTTGATTCTGATTCTGTCAAAACATTGGAACAGCAACAATACAGCAACATAGTACTAATTAGTATTACAACTGCCAAATTCTACGCGGGTGAAGCCGCGGGCAACAACTAGTCTTGATTATTTGATTATCTTTGTTCATATCAAATGTTAATACACAAAGTATTAACATTTGATATTCGATATTTCAGCCATTTGCTGAAATTTTTATGCTAACTACGTATTCATTTTTGCTCAATTTCTTTTGAGACAAGTGCGACCTTGTAACATTTACCAAGAAATAGTGTTAACAACTTTCAAACAAACGTTCAGTTTGATATCATCCGTACTTCAAAAGATTTGAATTTATTCAAAAATGGGGTCCAATCATAAAAATGCTGAGTAAAATTTATCTCTTACCCAAAAATTGCATAACTCAGATATACTAGCACTAGCTTCTTCCATAGCAATGTGACCATGAAGAGAACTACACTTACGGTAGTTAGAGCGTAATTGAATAATGTGGTTTCCCTGAAATAAAAAAAAAAGGTTTACACTATACTAACGTATTCTTTCAATAGCTAGCCATACACAAAGATATATTTGTCGGTTTGGAACAGTATGGATCAAACCGTCAAGACGATTGTTTGCGAAGAGAATGACCGCGATAGATTTTCTTGGACCTTATTGATTAAAGCTTCGCAAAAGCATGTTCTAATTTCCCCTGAAAACTTTCGACTGTGGAAGTTGTATTGTTGAATATTTTATTATTTAGATATTCTTATGAAAAGAAGTACAGTCGGTTCGAATCTGGAGATCCAAGAGGCTATTCAATTGGCGAACTCGAACCAAAATGTCGATTGCATTAACAGGTTTGTTCTACAAACATAAGTAATATAAGATACGTTGAGTAAATTAAATGAAAATAATGTTGTAGATGAATGCTGAACAATTTTGACATTTAGTTTTCTACCTTCTTTCGGAAAATAATCCCTCATACTTATGTTTCGCACTGCGGAAAGTATTTTATCTTTTGTTTCGTTATTCATCATATATAATTTGAATATGGATATGGACGAAAGTATCGGAATCAGTAAAGTGATAAATAGGCTAACGTTTTTGTTTTGTGGGTTGGACGGTAGCCGGTTAGGTTAGCGTGGATGGTTTGCTCCATTTACCCAATCGACTGCTGCGCTGTGTGAACCGGTGGTTCAAGTCGCGAGGCCGGACGATCGATTTTCACTGTCTTACCGTCCAACCCGTGCTAGGAATTGCACGTTGAAAGGTAAGCCCTAGTTGATTCTTGGCTCGCACAATCCTTAGCTTAACTTCTGAGAGTTGTCGTTCGTTATCAATTTTCATTAAGTAACGGGTCAGTCCATTCATAATCATAGATCACATATAATGCCGGTGAAAAAGTGACCACCTGGTGTATCTCACATAGGAAGCACTAAATCAATCCTAGAAGACCATACCAATTGACCATATTTGATTAGAATCGAGTGGTGCCGGGTTTTACATTCCGTTGTGGGTATTCATGATTCCTGTCATTCCAGGACATCGGCTACGGAGGCACATCTTCACCGGCAGCAGCAGATTGCATATCTTAATGAGGATCTAGAAGTGATTCCGAATTTGGGTGATAGTAATCAGGTTCAATTCAATGCTACAAAAACCCAGGCATCGGTTTTTTTCAAGAAAATAAATGTCTTCAAACCGGATATAATAATGTCAGGTCAGACAGTTTCGCTTTCTGCTTCAATAAGTTTGTTGGGGGTTAAAATGGACATCAATATGTCTTGGCAAAATCATGTCGCTGGAATTGCAAAGGCTGCTTCTCAGAAGCTTGGAACACTGTTCCGAACCAGAAAACTGTACACACCTCAGCAACTTTTGATGCTTTATAAAGCTCAGATCAGAACTTTTTTGGAGTATTGTTCTTATGTATGGAGCTCTGCTCCCAAACATACCCTGAAGTTGCTGAATTTCATCCAGAAAAGAGCCATCAGCCTGATTGTGGACGCGAACATCAGTTGCAACCTTGATGGTCTGGAACATCGAAGAAGGTTGGATATTTGTCTCTCTGCTATAGATACTTTCACGGGAAGTGTTCAATTGACTTGGCACATTTGATTCCACCAAGAGCGGTACATATCAGAAATACGCGACGGACTGTGGTTGCTCATCATTTTGAGGTTCAACTCAGTACGCCTCCCTGTTTAAGAACTCTTTTATCTGGAGAACTGCGTTTATGTGGAATAAACTTCCTGAGAACTTTTTTTCAAAAGGATTTAGTCTATTCAAATCCAATGTGAATCGCTACTTTCGCACAGGCACCGCCCCGAGAATGCCTTAAGGATTTTCCTGTTGTGCTTATGTTTTGTCCTTAAAAAAAAATAAACAGTATCATTAGTCAAAATGTATATTTTAATCATATCATTGATAAAAGAAAAACATTAAACTCAGTCACCGCTTGATCTTCATGATCAATATCTAGCTGAACCTCAAAAATTCCATGTGCCGTCATCTAATTTGGAAGTATGGAACTGAAAGAATTGACCCAAATTCGATGGTGCCAGCAGTGAAATATAAAACCCGGCCACCACTAAGTACTAATAGAATATGGTCACTAAATAAATTTGTGGTTTCTTTTATTAACGGACAATTTTGTCAGCAATTGAACAACAGCGTGACCCGCAGTGTGGTCTGACACCAGACACAGTTCTAACCGAAAGATTAATCTATGCATGTGTATCCACTGTCACCAACCTAAATAACCTAGTCTTGTCAAGGAATATTCCATTCAATAGAGCTCCAACAATTCCACAGATGACAGAAATGCACGCCATTCTTCCAGCATCTTCTTCACCATTCTGAAAAAAATAGGTTGATACATTTTTTCTAATTATTTTTCTGCGGAAATCATAATTGAAAAAATATCATCTCTTCAGTAACAACTATTTAATTGAGAAAATAAATATTTTGAAATGAAGTTCCGGAACATTTATCTCTCTCATCGTTGTAGCCCTATAGGATCTGGTGAATGCCTATCGGAAAGTAACTACTTCCCAGGCAGATACCACGATGGACATTGAATAATATCCGGTAGACATTAGTGCGAATTTTTTCATTAAGGAAGTTACTGCTGATGCTTCTTTTCCATACAGCAGCAGGATGTCTCGGAAATCAATCGAATAAATCATCTACAGACCGCATTCGTGTTATGACCCCTTGTCACTGCAGCAAATATCCAACGCAAACAGCGGTGTGCCTGGAATTCGACTTCAACATAACTCGGTTGTATATACGGAACCCTCGTCTGAGAAAAAAATTTGTTAACTAGTAAATGCTCCATCTCATAAACAAAGCCGCAAATGAGAAAGAAGCACCTTTTTTTCGAAATTTCATTTGTAAATTATTATTTTCTGAATTGAAACATAAATATTTTTCTTCGACATAGTTATCAGACTGATTTTGACAATCATTTCAGTCAAAAACGCCGTTAGTGAAAAAAAAATTGAATGTAATTATTGTGATACTTTTTCATAAGAAAATAGCTTTCAAACCTTTTGTAGAAATCCAATTTGAAAATCAATCAGGAGTGAGCAATAACATAAAATAGAGTATTGTTTACGAATATGTTGACTTCTGAAATACATGAGGAAGAGAAATATTCTGTTTTCATTTGTATATTGTGGAATTATCATTGGGTTGATGTATTCGTTCATGTTTTTCAACTTGATAAATGCTTGTGAATGATATCTGTTTCAATTTCATAACTAATGTTTGGAGTACAAACTGAATAGAGAAAAGTAATTTTCTCGTAAGCCACTGTTCATACGGAAGTAGTGTTTTCGAAAGGACTTTCGGTTTCGTGTAATTCGATGTTCATGTGAAAGTAGTTGTTTGGAAAAGGTTTTCTCTTCCAATTTGAGTCTGAGAAGAAGCCAATAAGCTTTTTTCAATTACATAAGGTTTCGTAATTTGTTCAGACTGTTATATATTTTGTTGCTGTGAAATGGGAAAACGTAGCACAAAATAACCTCTAGGAAAGAACTTGTTGCAAAAATCAATCAACACGTTAAGATAATAATTATAAGTTTTCACAATAAAATTTAAATAAGAAGGATTTCGCTACACGGTACTTTCATCAGTTGGACTGGTGTATCAAACTATTCAACAATGTCTTTTATATAACAGTAGATAATTACAGAATTTAATTAGATAAATGATTAATTCTGGAATACCGGACATTTATAAATATGTTAATTATTAACATTTTAAGTGAAAAAGTTCAATAATGGTTGATGAATAACTTTTTCTTGGTCGTTTGAAAGAAAATTTGAATATTTGATATTATTGATTTCCAGAGATTCCAGAAGATTTCATTTTTGTAACATCATGTCATAGCGGGCAAGCTTAAGTGGAATCGGTTATTGGTTATTGATAGTTGTGTCTGTATAGGTTGGTTTGTGGTGAATTGCGAAACCATATTTGTTATTGATTTCTTGTAATTGTGAGGTCTTAAAAGTTTCTCGAATTATTGGTTTTTAGTTCTATTGTGAATTTTATGTTTTCGTGAATAGAACTGTAAAACAGGCTATCACATCGTCAATATACCTATACGAATGCTGAATAGTCTTTTCAAAGTTGTCCACGAAAATTTCAGCGAGAGGGGGCTCAGATGATTACCCATTACTGGGCCTTATTTTTGTTGTTAATTTTGGTCTAGACATACTGACAATGGTGAAAGGATATTAGAATGAATTGATAGTTTTTTTTGGAACACTTCATATATGAGTTTATGAGTTCTTCTTGAGGAATCTTCGGGAATCATTTTGTGAGATCGAGAGATACCAGTTTGGCATCAGCTGGAAGGTGAATATTGGAGATGTTTTTTTATTTGTTCTTGCGAGAAGAATATAAGAATTAGGTTGTTTTTGATGGTATTCATCACGATTTCAAATATTTTATACGATAGTGATATTAGAAACCTTAGTACTGGTCTGATGGATTGATGTTGTTTATGAAGTTTAATGAATGAGTACAGTTGTGGAGTTTGTGAATTGGACATGATGTATTTAAAAAACACACTTCAATGTGAGATTTCCACTTGGAAGTTTACAAAATCGCAACACGTGTTTTGTTATACAATAGCATCTTTGAGGGTCAGTTCTATCATAATTTTGAACATGATGTATTGGTTTTTGTTTCCAGGTCTGATCAGGAAGATATCTTGTTGGATGAAGATTTTACTAGGGTGTGGAATTTGTTGGTTGGATGTTATACA